TCAATGTATACCTTGTTCAACGTTAAAATTTGATTAAGACTATCTAAACAATTTGTTAAGATCAAATGATACGAGTTTAATATACAAATCTGTTAAGTGAAGACCATAGTATAGCAAAAAAACTATCGCTTCAATTCAAATATATTGATGTACTTTTTCATTATCTGACAAAAATACTTGACGAAATAATTTATCGATACGAATTAGTAGTATAGTGTAGCAACAAGATTCACAACTGAACTCATACAAATGTCAAAGTGAAAACATTCGTGGTCACCTGAATATTGATTGACTAATACAATACCATTTTTTTATAGTCAGTTTTCTAACAAATACATGACTGATATTCCGCTTAATAAATATACACCATACTACATTAAAATAAGAAAATTCATTCTTTTTCTAAAATAACGAATACTTTAGAGCATCGAAAATACGTATACATACATATCTGTGTGTATATCTACAATACGATCAAAAAATAGCTGAAAGTACACAAAATAAAACAAAATACACATGTAGTGGAATGACCGCGAGCGATATAAATTTTAAAATGCTCCCTTAATATACCTTGTAGCAAATACAAAATAAAAGCCTGTTTGTTTTTTTACAGGTTTTATCAACAGATTTCAAAAATGGCGAATTTATTAGAGAATCTCTTGTTGAGAAAGGACAGACATATACGGTGCAAGTGACTGCATATGTGGCTGGTAAGTTAACCGCTAACTTTATGTTCTCTCACTTTACCCCTCCACCAACGATGTTACTTATATTGCCAGATAGTGAAATTACAGTACAATCAAGATCTTATAAAGGTACGGTTTTACAGGATTCAACGACAAACGCAAGGATTCCATTCGAAGAAATTGATCGAAGTACTACTGAAACTGAATGTATAAATATTAAACAAGAAAAGCTATCATCTGTTGTACTTGGTAAGTTTACAAATAAACAGCAGAGGTTGTTTGCTTCTTCCTCCTACCAGCAGCAAATTATATCTTGTCGGTTTCAGCCATTATTAATGATCCATCATCATCATCATCATCATCACCACCACCATCACCACCGCCGTCACAACCGACAAAACCTGATAAAACTACTGCAAATAATCATTTTCAATTCTTATATGAAAAATTACGAAAAGCAATTGCCGAGAAAAGGAAATCTTCGCCCCATCAATATTATCCTGGAAAATTCCATTATCTTGGTTATGATTGGAACAGTGATTGTAATATTAACAATCAACACAAACGAGAGGATGATGACGCTCACGATGTTATGTGCATTGTCGAAAACGAATTTGCTGACTGAAGTAAAACAAACGTTTTTTTATTTCAGATTAGGAAAGTTAGTTTGGTTTTCTCTTTTTTGTCGACAGTCTTCGAGAGCAGAACTGGTAATCTCTACTATGTAAATATTTCGTTCGTTTTTCTTTCTTTTTGATGTTTGTTGCATTACTATCGGTGCCAAAATAGAAGGCTGGTGATTATTTTTTGAATAATTCAAAAGGAAAAACAGATAGAGACTTGCGATTTTCATCATTCGCTTCCCAGGATCTGTAACTATGTTTTCATAAGCAAAAACAAATTTAGAAAAAATTTCGAAGACCCGTTTTTCAGAAAATCTAAAACAGACATAGAAATCTAAGGATGTTTTTCGTAGACATATAGCCTGAAGTGTCTTCGACAAAACTGGATCTAAATCACATCTTGGAAATCCACGGCTTGACAGCTATGAACGAAATATTGAGTTTATGAATCAAAAAGTAAGTGTTCATGCGTCTCAGGTGTCTTCAGCAATTCTAATGATACACACTTCGAGATGGTGTCAGAAATGGTTTCGACCGGTCAAAAGAAAATATATGACCGGCCAAGCGGCCCGATCAGAATTTTTAAGACCGGTTACCGGTCCGGTCGAGACAATCTTGACCGGTTACATCTGTACCCTATGGTCATACACCGTAAAAAACATCAACGGCTTACGCGATATAGATGCTAAGATATTAGTCAAACATTCTCATAAAATCTCACGACTTTTGCCGGACTACAGCACTATAAACCTTTTTCTCATAGTAATTACTTATTTTTGTTTAAAGTTTGAAGCAACATTTAGTCGTAGCAAACGACTAAATGTTTCGGATGTTCAACCATGTAAAAGAAATGATACATGAGAATGTGACTCAGGTAAGGCATTTTTTAAATCATTTAGTATGTCATCAAATCGTTTACTACATCTTCGCTAGAAATTGTAATTAAATCATTGCTGTTTTATCATAACTCAACAGGAAGAGCTTTAATAATAAAAGCTAATAGAGGTGTATAAGATGGATTAGCAATTGAACGATAAAGAATTTATGCGATCTTGATTACCTCGCTTCATAATATCACCATGACGTATGTGTACTTCAGTCAAATGAGTTTCAACTGCTGAACATTGAATAGGTCGAACTGCTCTAATTAGGTTTCTAGTATTATTCAGAGTAGCGTTACTTTGATTTGTATCAATATTAGTACTACTGTATTGAAAATAATCAGTTGGTAAGTAATTTGATAAAACGAGTATTCCTGCTCAAACCCCAGTGTGTAAGTTACATTCTTCTTGACTTATACGTAACTGGAAGAACATTCCGCTGTTATGTGGCAGAAAAAAATAGCGTGTGTGCATCATTTAACTGCACGTGTCATACGTTTTTTGTTCCACGATAATCCCAAATATATCGAAAATACACGCAACATATTAAGAAGCGATTTAGCTCTTATGCCAACACATGAAAAGGATTAAACCTTTCTTGGATTTAGGGTAGGTTTCATTTCTGTCTGGTGTAGCACTACAAATTCATACCATGACCATTTGTTTTTTGTTCTTTAACTGCTTAGGTCTGGAGGGAGAAACAAGTTTAACAGGTTCGTACCGTTCTAACGTTGTTAGGTAATATTCGAAAGATCTTTAAAACAGTTGGATAGCGGTCTGTTCTTGAAAACGTTAAAGAAAAAGAACAAGCACGTATTCATTTGACAATAACGTAATAATAAGAAACATCCTTTCTGTTTCTCTCAGATGAGGCATCATGGCTTGTTGTGGTTATGTTGTTCGTCATGTACTTCAAATGTACTGTGTATAAAATAATATTGTTAGAATATTTCTGAAAAATGTTTCGGCTTTTGCTGGCGACAATTCTATAGTGATATTAACCGGCTTATAGGCGGTAAATTCATGAAACCAATCAGACATTTTGCTGCATAAACAACGGAAAATATAATGTTTTTCTGTTCTTGCTGTTAAATTAGCGGCACCTTTCTATCACATGTTGACGTGTAAAATGTACACTTTTCATCGTATCATATGATTGACGTGCGGCTGAAAGCCTAAGCAAGATAATGAGATATGCAGTAATATGAAAGGAAAGAAAGAATCGACTAAAAAACGTGTTTTACAAGACTGTATATTACACGTCCAAACATCGTCTCTTCTGCACAATGTTCGCATCAATCGACTTCGTGCCTAGTTGAAAAACAGAAACTATCATCAATCAATTAACAGAATGTAGTATTCTTGAAATGTAAGGCTAATCAAACAAACAAGTTCAAATCAAATGATATACAAAGAGAACCAAAGCGTCTCACGTCAGAACAACCATAACGTTTTTAGGTTGGTAGGCGTCGTTTGCTCGAAGAACAATATATCAAATCGATGTAGTATTATTCAAAATTTCACGATCATTTGCATATCTATTACATTAGTTTCAACAGCATTTTTTTCTGTCACAAATTTACAATTAAGTATACATTCAACCGATAATGTTGGACTATATTCTCTCACAATACGGTATGGTATTGGATCGATTGCCACACTATTTTTACCACATCTATTGATGAACCTAGCTGGCTATAAATGGACGATATTTTTAGCTGAAATTGGTTTTCTAGCTTATATTGCCACTAATTTTTACGCGAAAGCGGCTCTGCTTTATTCAAGTATGTTGCAGTTTTTTGCAAGAATCACATGAAGCTTGAAGCATCTTTTTTTAGTACCTACCATATTTTGTCTCCTCAGTTGTGCATCGATTCCATCTAAAAATGTATACGTTGAACAGCTAAGTGAAACGTATCCCGAGATCACCAGCACAGAGAATAGTGTAGTACTTCATCGTTTTTCGGGCATATATTTTGCAATATAACGGGTGTTCCGGAATAAATCGGTCCCTTAGCATTTTGCTTATATCTTAGTTGAATTTTATTCCCTAAGTTTTGTTATTTTCTTAAAAGATGTGCCGTAAAATTCTCTACAAAAAATATATTAAACATTTTTCTATATATATTAAAGATGAAAGAATATAGAAGAAATACTGCGAAGCTTCAATCTCAATTACTTTGCAATTCAAGAAACAATGAAAAAAATATTTTGAAAAAATATTTGAGCATGGTGTCATGCATAAAGGTGGAATC